CTGCCGACGCCCTTGTTCCTCGGTGACGCGCTCAATTTCGTTTTTCTCGGCTTGATATTGCGAAACGCTTCCTCGACACACGCGCGCGCACACACATAGATAGCGGGCACAAAGTTTCTTTATAGGACGAGCAACTTTGTCTAATTTTAAACGGAAATTTCTCATCAGTCTCGTCGTTACGGTCTTTCTCGATCTTTAATATTGATCTTTTCGCACTTTGGAATTAATTATTCGTGATGATAGGCTACTTTGGCTTTTTTCAAAAATTTATATTTAAGCATCGTGGATGACTACTGTACGCTCCGTTAATGGAAGGTTAACCATTATTTCGTAATAAAGCACGTTGAAATACGATTTGCTTTGTAACGCGATCAAAATGGTCACTTTGCGGCATAATCTACTAATTTCTTTTTAATTATTCTCTTTCTTTTTTTTTTTTTTCAACCAGAAAACGAAAGAGAGTTAACAAAGAAGTGTAATCCAATTAACAAAATGAATGATACGAAACTTATTAAAATTCATTCTACGCTTTTACAAAATTAAAATTATCAACGTATGCATTACACGGATATAACTGTACCACGTGAAACTTATTAAAATTCATTCCACTACTTTCGCAAAATTAAAATCACCAACACGCGCGTATCGCGCACAAATAACTATACGAGACCATTATGAAAACAATCGCGAATTATCTTTCCTTTCGAATAAAAAACCTAAGCGAATTCAAAATTCGCGCGTTTTTTTAATAATATCCAAAGACTGCAAAAAAAAAAAAAGAATCGGAAACGAATTCGTTCGATTCGATTAATTTTAACATCAAAAGTGTTCTCTCACGCATTCGAAATCCTTCGATCTCGCGAAAAAATTAATTCCACCGTCGAAAAATTATCGCACCAAGCACACGTGCCTCGCCTAATCCCCCTCCCTCGATTCGCTCGATTCTTCCCCAAACACGAACGCCCTCGTTATCGCGCCACTCCATTCACCCCCGTCACCACCAAACGAGCCAATTCTTCAAATTACTTCCATCGCTTACCACCACCCCCCTCTTGGAAACCGAGCATGCCAAGACCAACTCGAGGAAAGATCGAGAAGCTTGCTCCTTTGGGGCTAATTCGACATTAATTGCGCGTTTTTTTCCCCTCCTCGATTGTATAATCTATAAACTCTGTGGAGGGAGAGGAGAGGAGGGGGGCTCTCTTAATTGACGGCGAATCCAATTACGACGGGGCTCTCCTCTCCCTCGACTCTTCGCCGAAAAAGAAGAAACGAAGGGGAAGGAAGGAAACAAGGGGCGCGTATCCGGGCCAGAAATCGCCGTGGACCGCATTCAATTAGCCGTGGGGAACAAGTTTCTTCGCGAGTAATTAGTATCGGGTTGGCCGAATAAAGTTAGCTCTCTCTCGCTCCTTCGAGACCGTATTTTCCCTCTCGAGATCGTGCTAATAACGATAAACTCTACGCCTGTGTTACGACATTGCCTGCCGTCTACGACAATGATCATAGCCTCGAGACAATAACGTTTGTTTCGGCCTCCTTCGTTTCTTCCTTTTTTCTGCGGTGAATATAAATCTTATGGATTGAAATTTTCCGTTTCTGTTTTCCGGAAAGACTTCAGACTTTGAATTTTCGTGGGAAAAATGGAATAAAATGGAAGGAAATGTTAGATGGAAGATAAAAGTCCTCGAGATGAGTTTAACGAAGGAAGGAATTGTTCTCGGAGGCGTGGAACAATCGTTCGATTATCGTCGAATTGCGGGCAAAAACTTTGGGGCCGTTTATTTTCCTTTCTTCTTTTTCCGAGCATAAAACCGGTTCATAAAATGTTTTAACAATTAGTCGACGTTAAATGTGAGATCGCAGGGAGAGATATCTCTGCACCTTCCCCTCGTCCTCCGTGTATTCGAGCCCGTGTTCAGAATTCTCGATTCGTTTATCCAAACTGGAATTGTGCATACGAGTTTTCGAAGCGTCGAAAATTTTCGTAATTAAAATCGGCCGTTGCCTTACGGATCGCGATAAAGAAACAACTCTATTTATCACGGAAAACAATAAATAAATATCGCAATAACGAGGATCCGAACTACCGATGTAAGCGGAAAATATCGATAATTGATTCGAGGGAGAAGCTTACACATTTCGAATGAATTATTCCCGTAATTAGGACGGACTGCTAATCGTGGAATTAAATTATCAATAAATCACCAGCTCGTTATTCCCCTGTACCGACAATAATCGGATCACTTTCGACAGCTTATATATATATATATATATATACGATAAATATCGTCTCAATTCCACTTCATTAAGAGAGAGAGAGAGAGAGAGAAAACGAATAATAAATTTAATCGATTAACGAATTTTTCTACTACAAAATGAGAGATTTTTTTTTTTTACCGCGACAGATTCTTAAAATTTTTTCAAGCCTCGCGTGTCGTCTCGGCCGAGTGACCTCGTCCACCTTCTCCTCTTGGATATTTTTAAACGTTTCGGCGAGAACGACGGAGTTCCCAGACTCGAAGCCGCTCTCTCAGTCGTTGGTCGATCGCCGTTCGATTTTTCTCGAACGCGAGGAGATCGCGAAGGTGTGCTCGATCGTTCGAGTTTGGGAAGTGTCTTGCTCGAAGCGTCGCGTCCCCGATTTCTTAAAATACCCGCGCGAACGCGGTCAACTTCATTTTCCATTCCTCCGCCGGCGCAGGAGAAAGAGAGAAGAGGAGGAAGGGTCTCGAAGGGTGAGAAAGGGGTTTGAAAGCCGGCCAGTTTAGGCTTTCGGAAAAGAAAACAGGTCTGTGTACACCGCGCGAACGAAGGAAGTTGAAAAAAAAACTTGTCCCCTGACCGCGACGATGTCCACGGTGGTGAAACTGTGCCAAGGAGCTTCTTTCGATCGCCCCAATTTCACCGAGCCGCTCTTATTACGCGACGACGAAACAACTTCTCGAGATTGAACGTATGATCGATCCTCTTCCCCCCCCTCCTTCCATCATTCCTTCGTTACTTCTCTTTCTCTCCTTGTGGACAGTTTTACACGGTTAGGGAAGGGAGGAAAAGTTGGTCGAACGCGAGTTTGAAAATGGTTCTTCGACCGAGTCGTGGCAAGCTTGCGCTTAGAAGAGAGTTCTTCTGTAATGCTTGGGTTTGGCACGATCGTGTTTCCCCCTCTACTTCTTCTTCTTCTTCTTCTTCTTCTTGAATTACAGTTGTTTCGAAAAGATTCACCACTGGTGCTCTCTTTTGACGGAAGATCGCGGGGGTTCTTCGAATTTCCTGCCCGACCCGAAAGAGATTTCTTCAAGCTGGGAGGAGCGTCTCTTCTTCTCGCGAGATCTAATGGAAAACAACAAATTCTCGATATAAGGATAAAGCGTTATCCCGGGATAATCAGCTTCCACCGTGCATACTTGATCACCTTTCGATTAAAAAGTTAAGGGAGGAAGTCAGTTGTTCGACGTCTAAAGAAACGGAGCACGATAGGGAAACGTCCCTGGAGGATCACCTATCTGCCTACGATGCCTCAGAGAACTTTCGCGCCACTTCCATACCGGAATAAAACTTCTCTCTCTCTCTCTCTCTCTCTCTCTCTCTACTACTACTACTACTACTACTACTACTACTACTACTACTACGTACGTACCGTACCGTACCG